GCAGAGGAAAGTTTTGTTCCAAGGGAAACAGAAATAATAGGAAGACCAAAACGAGTCCTTGGTTTACCGAAGGTGTAGGGAGGCAAAAACTAAGTGCAACAGAGAATGGAAAAGGTACAGGAGGCATAGGACCCAGGAAAACAAGGAGATTAGTAGAAGAGCCAGAAACGAGTATGCACAGATAAGGAGGGAGGCCCAGCGACAGTATGAAAACGACATAGCATCGAAAGTCAAATCTGACCCGAAACTGCTGTATAGCCACATTAGGAGGAAGACAACAGTCAAGGACCAGGTGATAAGGCTGAGGAAAGAAGGTGGGAGAACTCACAAGAAACGATCAAGAGGTATGTGAGGAGCTCAACACGAGATTTAAGGAAGTATTTACAGTAGAGACAGGAAGGACTCTGGGGGGACAGACCAGATGGGGACACCAGCAAGGAATACACCAACAGTGTTGGACGACATACATACAGATGAGGAGGAGGTGAAGAGAACTGCTAAGGGACATCGATACCTCAAAGGCAATGGGACCGGACAACATCTCCCCGTGGGTCTTAGAGAGGGAGCAGATATGTTGTGCATGCCACTTACCACAATCTTCACACGTCCCTGGAAACTGGGCAACTACCTGAGGTATGGAAGACGGCAAATGTAGTTCCCATTTTTAAAAAAGGAGACAGAAAAGAGGCACTAAACTATAGACCTGTGTCATTGACGTGTATAGTATGCAAAATTATGGAGAAGATTATCAGGAGGAGAGTGGTGGAGCACCTGGAACGGAACAAGAGTATAAATGCCAACCAGCACGGATTCATGGAAGGCAAATCCTGTGTCACAAACCTTCTGGAGTTTTATGATAAAATAACAGAAGTAAGACACGAGAGAGAGGGGTGGGTTGATTGCATCTTCTTGGACTGCAAGAAGGCCTTTGACACAGTTCCTCACAAGAGATTAGTGCAGAAGCTAGAGAATCAGGCGCATATAACGGGAAGGGCACTGCAATGGATCAGAGAATACCTGACAGGGAGACAACAACGAGTCATGGTACGTAATGATGTATCACAGTGGGCACCTGTGACGAGCGGGGTCCCACAGGGGTCGGTCCTAGGACCAGTGCTATTTTTGGTATATGTGAACGACATGATGGAAGGGTTAGACTCAGAAGTGTCCCTGTTTGCAGATGATGTGAAGTTAATGAGGAGAATTAAATCTGATGAGGACCAGGCAGGACTTCAAAGAGACCTGGACAGACTGGACACCTGGTCCAGCAAATGGCTTCTCGAATTTAATCCTGCCAAATGCAAAGTCATGAAGATAGGGGAAGGGCACAGAAGACCACAGACAGAGTATAGGCTAGGTGGCCAAAGACTGCAAACCTCACTCAAGGAGAAAGATCTTGGGGTGAGTATAACACCGAGCATGTCTCCGGAAGCACACATCAACCAGATAACTGCTGCAGCATATGGGCGCCTGGCAAACCTGAGAACAGCATTCCGATACCTTAGTAAGGAATCGTTCAAGACACTGTACACCGTGTATGTCAGGCCCATACTGGAGTATGCAGCACCTGTTTGGAACCCGCACTTGATAAAGCACGTCAAGAAACTAGAGAAAGTACAAAGGTTTGCGACAAGGTTAGTTCCAGAGCTAAGGGGAATGTCCTATGAAGAAAGATTAAGGGAAATCGGCCTGACGACACTGGAGGACAGGAGGGTCAGGGGAGACATGATAACGACATATAAAATACTGCGTGGAATAGACAAGGTGGACAAAGACAGGATGTTCCAGGGAGGGGACACAGAAACAAGAGGCCACAATTGGAAGTTGAAGACACAAAAGAGTCAGAGAGATATTAGGAAGTATTTCTTCAGTCATAGAGTTGTAAGGCAGTGGAATAGCCTAGAAAATGACGTAGTGGAGGCAGGAACCATACACAGTTTTAAGACGAGGTTTGATAAAGCTCATGGAGCGGGGAGAGAGAGGGCCCAGTAGCAACCGGTGAAGAGGCGGGGCCAGGAGCTAAGACTCGACCCCTGCAACCACAAATAGGTGAGTACACACACACACAAAGTGCAATAGAGAATGGAAAAAGTACAGAAGGCAGAGAACACATGAAAATAGGGAGATCAGTCGCAGAGCCAGGAACGAGTATGCACAGGTAAGGAGGGAGGCCCAGCGACAGTATGAAAATAACATAGCATCGAAAATCAAGACTGACCCGAAACTGTTGTATAGCCACATCAGGAGGAAGACAACAGTCAAAGACCAGGTGATCAGACTGAGGACAGAAGGTGGAGAACTCACAAGAAATGATCAGGAGGTATGTGAGGAGCTAAACATGAGATTTAATGAAGTTTTTACAGTAGAGACAGGTAGGGCTCTGGGAAGACAGCACAGAAGGGAACATCAAGAGGGAATATACCAACAAGTGTTGGATGACATACGAACAACCGAGGAGGAGGTGCAGAAGCTGCTAAGTAACCTTGATACCTCAAAGGCGATGGGGACCGGACAACATCTCCCCGTGGGTCCTTAGAGAAGGAACAGAGATGCTGTGAGTGCCCCTAACCACAATCTTTAACACATCCCTTGAAACTGGGCAACTACCTGAGAAATAAAAGACAGCAAATGTAGTCCCCATATTTAAGAAAGGAAACAGAAATGAGGCACTAAACTACAGACCTGTGTCTCTGGCATGTATTGTGTGCAAAGTCATGGAGAAGATTATCAGGAGGAGAGTGGTGGAACACCTGGAAGGGAACAAGATTATAAATGAAAACCAGCATGGGTTCATGGAAGGCAAATCCTGTGTCACAAACCTTCTGGAGTTTTATGACAAGGTAACAGAAGTAAGAAACGAGAGAGAGGGGTGGGTTGATTGCATTTTCCTAGACTGCAGGAAGGCCTTTGACACAGTTCCCCACAAGAGATTAGTGCAGAAGCTGGAGGATCAGGCGCATATAACAGGGAGGGCACTGCAATGGATCAGGGAATACCTGACAGGGAGGCACAACGAGTCATGGTACGTGAAGAGGTATCACAGTGGGCGCCTGTGACGAGCGGGGTCCCACAGGGGTCAGTTCTAGGACCAGTGCTATTTTTGATATATGCGAAAAGACATGATGGAAGGAATAGACTCTGAAGTGTCCTATTCGCAGATGATGTGAAGCTGATGAGAAGATTAAATCGGATGAGGATGAGGCAGGGGCTGCAAAGAGACGTGGACAGGCTGGACACGTGGTCCAGAAACTGGCTTCTCGAATTCAACCCTGCCAAATCCAAAGTCATGAAGATTGGGGAGGGCAAAGAAGACGCAGACAGAGTATAGGCTAGGTGGACAAAGACTACAGACCTCACTCAGGGAGAAAGACCTTGGGGTGACCATAACACCGAGCACATCACGGAGGCACACATCAACCAAATAACCGCTGCAGCATACGGGCGCCTGGCAAACCTGAGAATAGCATTCCGATACCTTAATAAGGAATCGTTCAAGACACTGTACACTGTGTATGTTTAGGCCCATACTGGAGTATGCAGCACCAGTCTGGAACCCACACCGGGTTTCAAGCACGTCAAGAAGTTAGAGAAAGTACAAAGGTTTGCAACAAGGCTAGTCCCAGAGCTCAAGGGAATGTCGTACGGGGAAAAGGGTTTAAAGGGGAAATCGGACTGACGACACTGGAGGACAGAAGGGTCAGGGGAGACATAAATAACGACATACAAGTTTACTGCGGGGAATAGACAAGGTGGACAGAGATAGGATTTTCCCCAGAGAGGGGACACAGGGACAAGGGGTCACAACTGGAAGCTGAAGACTAAAGACGAGTCACAGGGACGTTAGGAAGTATTTCTTCAGTCATAGAGTTGTCAGCAAGTGGAATAGCCTAGCAAGTGAAGTAGTGGCGGCAGGAACCATACATAGTTTTAAGAAGAGGTATGACAAAGCTCAGGAAGCAGAGAGAGAGGGATCCAGTAGCGATCAGTGAAGAGGCGGGGCCAGGAGCTGAGTATCGACCCCTGCAACCACAATTAGGTGAGTACAATTAGGTGAGTACGCGCACACACATACACACACACATACACACACACACACACACACACACACACACACACACACACTCACACACACACACACACACACACACAGGGAGGGGACACAGAAACAAGAGGCCACAATTGGAAGTTGAAGACACAAATGAGTCAGAGAGATATTAGGAAGTATTTCTTCAGTCATAGAGTTGTAAGGCAGTGGAATAGCCTAGAAAATGACGTAGTGGAGGCAGGAACCATACACAGTTTTAAGACGAGGTTTGATAAAGCTCATGGAGCGGGGAGAGAGAGGGCCCAGTAGCAACCGGTGAAGAGGCGGGGCCAGGAGCTAAGACTCGACCCCTGCAACCACAAATAGGTGAGTACACACACACACACACACACACACACACACACACACACACACACACACACACACACACACACAGTAGCGACTAAATAACAAAGAAGGCAAAATACCGTTACTGGAACCATACAAAAATAACCCGCACATAGAAGAGAGGAGCTTATGACGACGTTTGGACCGAAACGTCGTCGTAAGCTCCTCTCTTCTACGTGCGGGTTATTTTTGTACAGTAGCAACTAGCGAAGAGGCGGGATCAGGAGCTGTGAATCGATCCCTGCAACCACAAGTAGGTGAGTACACACACATACCCACAGACACAGACACACTCAGGGGACAAAGGCTGCAGACTTCACTTAAAGAGGAAGAGCAAGGGGTTAGCAAAGTGCCTAGCATATCGCCAGATATTCTATTTTCAACGAGATATATTCATCTAATTATGATTGCGAGGGTTTAGGGTTGAGCATGCAGTCTGTTTTACTAGCTATCTGCCTCATGGGTTCTTTCATATCCATCCTTAAAACTGTGTACAGTTTTTTTTCCATCAAGTATTCCTAATCTAAAAAATAAATGAAAAGGAATTATAAGATAAAAAAACACTGACCTCTGTTATGTGATGGCGTGGCTGGTGTTGTTCCTCCTCCAGAAGGGTGAGCTCATCCTCCAGTACCTGCTTCTCCAACACTCGCTTCTCCAGGAGATGAGGGTGGAGGTGGGGAGAGTGAGACATGTGATGGTCAGGAGGAACCTCCTCTGGTTGTCCTCTCTCCTCCTCCGCGGCCGCCGCCGTCGCCGCCGCCGCCGCCGCCGCCACCTGTGGAGTTAAGATAAGATAAGATTTGCTGGGATTTTTAACCCGGGGTAGGGAGGGTTAGCCAAAAAGAATAACCCAAGAAAGTAAGTCATTGGGGCTGTGTCTTTATTTTCATTGTGGTCCTTCAATCTTGTCCCCCAGGATGCTACACACACCAGTTGAGTAACACCCAGGTGCGTGCCTAACGTTTCCACCCGTGCTGACGGTAGGCAGCCGCTACCGTCAGCGAGAGAAAACTCAAGGAGAAACATGGAGGGGCGGCAAGTGAATGGTGAGGAGAAAAAGTTGTACAATTTGTGTGAGATGTGGAAACTGATGTCTCAAATTCCACTGTTTGGGAGAAATGGGATAAGCAAAGCACCAGAAGCTTATGGTCAGTATTTGAATAAACGGTTTAAAAAAACGACAAGTTGATAAATGAGACACTATTGGGGTTTTCCACTTGTGACTGCCTACCACTGCTCCACTTCATCTGTCTGCAGTATATAAGTCCCATCTCGGCGAATATACTGCAGGCCAGTAGGCCTGCTTCGGTGTTCCTTTCTTATGTTCTTATCAAGATTCATGAAGTGAACACATTGACTCCAGTCTGAGGGACTGATTACCTCAAACTCCCCATCTTCTACTGTTTTCTGCTTGTGATCGACGAAGCCACTAGCTGGAGACGTTTCCAGAATAAATATATCCAAATGTTGCACAAATATCTCTTGTGGTCAGTGTTTCACACAGAGGCTGTAAGTCACAGTAGGTGTCAACAGAAGTTGTGTCAGCGGCAGAGGTATACAAAACTACCAGATGCAAAATATACTTTTTCAGTAATCTGTTGGAAGTCACAGGTGATGAGCCAAAGTTGATTCTAATAACAATGGAAATCTCCCCTGCTAGTGAGACCGAAAAATGGGTTTGCCGAGTTGTTTCTGGTCAGGCAGAGCCGCTCAAACCTCCCCACCAGTGCCGCAGTGTTGAGGAACATTACAAGGCGAAGAGGTAAAGGAACAATACATTGTGAGAAATTAGAAATATAGTATGAAGCGAAGGAAAAAAAGAAGCATAGTAAGAAATGAAGAGGCCTTTTGAAAGAAAGAAAATGGGAGGTTGAAAGATGAGAGGATAAGGAAAACGAGGAGACAAGGAAAAAGGGGAGGAAATGCGAGAACGAAAATGCAGAAAATAACATGGACTAAGGAAATTCCTAACTAGAGGATGGAGAGAGCAAATTACTGACGATCCTTGAATCTTCATTCTCTTGAGAGATGCAGAATGAGAAGAGATATTACCGAAGTGTAAAAGTGGATGATAGGCATAAAACAGAGGTGATATTAATAAAATACTGAGGATATCGAATCGGTAAGAACCAGAAATAACGGATTTAAGTTAGATAAATTTAGATTTCGAAAGGTCACAGATAGGTAAGCACTAGTTTTCAAACAAGTGTCGATGCGTGGAACAGTATTCTGAGTAGGGTAACCGAGGCTAGGACCCTGGGTGGCTTTTAAAAGAGATTGGACAGATATATGAGTGGGAGGGGCTGGGTTTAATTAGTGTCGTGGGTACGGGAGTAAATTTTTTGGGTAGTTATGGGAAGAGGTGATTTTGATAAAGACCTGCCTTGTATGGGGCAGTAGGCCTTCTGCAGTATTCCTCCATTCTTATGTTCTCAAAAAGTATTTCTCCAAGGTTGATGAATTGATTACATCATATTTACTTCGTTACCACACCTGCTGCTTCAGTGTTTGACTGAAGAAGCCTACTGTGAAGGCGAAACCTTGCAACAGTAAAGAAACCCTACTGCACATTTGTGTTAATCATGAAGGATATGGCATTGTATTTATGAAGACGTTTCGTGCACCAGGAACTGAATTCAAATCGGCATATTGCGCCTTATTTACATGACAACCCTGCCATGATCTAGGCAAGTTCAGACTAGGCTAGGCACTCAGTGAGGGCGCCGCTGCAGCTCCTGCTGCCGCCGTCCCGGCCAGATGACGGATGGCTCCCAGGGCATATTGAAAATTTTTCACAAGTTTTGATGGCTCACAAGCGGGCAAGTGGTGCGACAATATTGTTTGGTAACTTTTAGAAGCTTGGTTAAGTGTATTATCTTTAGAATATTTCACACTGAGCCATATCTAAAGTAAATATTATTAACGAACAGTTCTGTGTATTTCTAGACGGTAATCCTGAGACATACCTGTGGCTGAGGCTGGTCCTTTCTGGGCAACCTGGTTGTTGCTGCTAGCGGCCTACAGGTTCACAAAGTCATCACAACCTGGATGATCAGGAATTTGTGGGAGATAGCTGTCAAATTTCCTCTTGAAAACTTAAAGCTTCGTTCCAGTAATATTTCTCATTTGTGAGGAATAAGATACATGCGCAACGGCAGATATATTTTCATCTGAAAAAAAATACCACAGTGAAAATAGGAAATAAAACCTGAGCGTTTTCATGTGCACATGAAAACGCTCAGGTTTTATTTCCTAAATTCCCTGGTATTTTTTTTATTTACAATCACACGTTTTATTGTAATTTCTTCAATATTTTCAACTATTCTAGTTTGATTTGCAAGTTCATGCACATCCCGTTTTAAAACAGATAAATAGGGAGATAAAAAAAAATAAAGAGTTGAACAAATATTGAAGCATTATCTTCCCCTGACGCCTAGTGAGCAAAGGTTCCAGTGGTTGTCCATTACAACCTCACCCAAACTTTACGGAAGCATCTGGGAACTCTGAAAGCACTTTGTTTTTCTCCAACATCTTCCCAAACGTAAACACTGGGAATTCGATTCATTGATATAACGTTGGCGAGCGAATTACCCCCGAACACACCACCTGCTCTTCCTACATCAACATACCCACGTCCTATATAAGCGAACCTAAATTTTATTCAAGTTCTAATCTACTGATCGACAATGGAAACTCCTGGTCAGTTGCGCCTTTCATAAATCTAGAATGAGGGTCATGCGCGACGCCCAAGTGGCTAATAGAGTAGAAATGCAACCCTGAAAGAAGCAATCTTCAGCTGTTTTATTCGTCTAAGGGAATCCCGGAGAGAAGATAGCGATGGTCAGGTGCTTTATACTAAGAAGGGAATCTGGAAAGGAGGACAGCGATCGTCACCATTTTTTTTATACAGAGAAGGAAATCCTGAACGGAAGACAACAATCTTCATGTTTTTTTTTTTTATGTTAATAAGATACGAGAGGAGGGAGGGAGAGAGGGAGGGAAGGAAGGATATTTCCAGGCATTTTACACTAATAGGATCCTGGACGGGTAAAGCGATCTGAAGGTGTTGTACCCGCAACGCACCAGCTTCATATTTTCCACGAGCTGGCGAGGAAGAGGAAAGAGATAGAGGAGGAGGAGGAGGAGGAAGAGGCCAAGGACACGTGGAAGATAAAGTTTTTGTATTTCATTTAGTGAAATTAAATACATCAGCAATGTGCTACTACCGTATTCAACAGAGTAGTTACGTACAGAATGGTAACAAAAACTTGCTATGTTAAGGTGAAGCAAAACATCGACAATGAAACAGTTTTTTAATTAACATTATTGGGTACACGGAACCTTCATCCAACCCTTCATTGTTCCAGCAGGTACTGGAGTTACTTACCCAGGATGTAACATTCCAGAAGATACTGGAGTTACTTACCCAGGATGTAACATTCCAGAAGATACTGTAGTTACTTACCCAGGATGTAACATTCCAGAAGATACTGTAGTTACTTACCCAGGATGTAACATTCCAGAAGATACTGTAGTTACTTACCCAGGATGTAACATTCCAGCAGGTACTGGAGTTTCTTACACAGGATGTGACCCTCAACAGTCAGCTACGTGTGCATGGGTTGCAGGCTAGGTGTGCAGGGGTAGCAGGATAGGTGTACAGGGGTAGCAGGCTACGTGAGTAGGGGTAGCAGGCTAGGTGAGTAGGGGTAGCAGGTTAGGTGAATAGGGGTAGCAGGTTATGTTTGCAAGGGTAGCAGGCTAGGTTTGCAAGGGTAGCAGGCTAGGTGGCTAGGCGTGCAGAGGTAGGAGGCTAGGTGTGCTGGGGTAGCAGGCTAGGTTTGCAAGGGTAGCAGGCTAGGTGTGCAGGGGTAGGAGGCTAGGTGTGCAGGGGTAACAGGCTAGGTCAGCAGGGGTGTAAGTTAATTCAAATGTTTCTCTGTGCCAGAGCTCTAACCCAGGACATTACGATTGTGAATGAACGCTCTCAGCAGTGAGCCAAGCGATATCTCCGAGGGAAAGAGGTAAACGAGGGGTAAACAATACAAGGTAGAAGAGAAGGAAGGAGGCACAAAGGCAGGAGATAGACAAGAACATAAACAAGGAGGAAGAACATAAACAATGAGGAAGAACAAACAATACGAACATAAACAAGGAGGAAGAACAAACAATAAGAACATAAACAAGGAGGAATAACATAAACAAGGAAGAACAAACAATAAGGAAGAACATAAACAAGGAGGAAGAACAAACAATAAGAAAGAACATAAACAAGGAGGAAAAACCTAGACAAGAGCATAAACAAGAAGGGGCAGTATAAACAGATGATAATCGCGGGAAGTATGGGTGACGGATAACGATGAAGAACAGGAACAGAAAGTGGAGGAAGAAGAGGTAAAAAACGAAGGAAAGTGGGAAGAGGAGGAGGATTAGGAGGAAGAGGAAGAGTAGGAGGAGGAAGAGGAGCAGGAAGAAAATGAGAGAGAAAATCCAGTGCATCAAAGGGGAGGAGCGAGGAGAGAAGGTAATTACGTAATTGAGGTTGAGCAAACAAACACTACCTCTTTGGAGGTCAGGCCCTGCCACTGCCCCAGCCTGCCCCCTTATCACCACCCCCTGCCCTGGACCCTGTCATTTCCCTTGCCCACCACCCCATACCCAGGCCCACCACCCCATACCCTGGCCTTTACCCCGTGCAAATCCCTGGGTGACGAACAATGTAATTTCCTATATGTAATTGCATATATCTGTGTAATTACCTATTGATAAAGGAAT